GCCTCAGCCTCCTGAGTAGCTGGGATTACAGGCACGCACCACCATGCCCAGCTAATTTTTGTAGTTTTAGTAGAGATGGGGTTTCACCATGTTGACCAGGACGGTCTCGATCTCTTGACCTCGTGATCCACCCGCCTCGGCCTCCCAAAGTGCTGGGATTACAGGCTTGAGCCACCGCGCCCGGCCCCAACAGCCACGGTCTTAATCTCAGATGCTTCCTCCATCTGCCAAGTGTGTTCTGGAAACAGAGTACACCGTGGCTTCTGGGGTCACACTCAGCTGAAGCTGTGGGTACACAGAGCACTCATCAGGCTGGGCTATGGTGGGGGGTGGGGGTGGGGAGGAGTGGGGGGGTGGCTCTACTCAAGAAGCAAAGCAGTTACCAGCACATTCAAACAGTGTATTGAACATCTTTTAAATATCAAAGCGAGAAACAAGAAGGCAGCATGATGTCATCAGAAAGATGTCAGGAAGTAAGGACAGCTGTATAAAGCTTGAGGCTGAAAAGTGGCTTGCCAGCTTCATTTCTTCGGCTTCTTGGGTAGTGGGCGCCAGGACAATAAGATGTGAGGTTCTGGTTCATGGATCATATAAAGGACCCATCCCTGACTCTGCTGAATGCCAAGATTCCTCCATTCAGATTCAGACATCAAATGGATTTTAGGGACCATCTCGGCTGTGTCCTTGGGCAGCATGACACGCTGATACTCAAACTCCTAATTGTCAGATTTGTCCGATTCATAAGTTTGTTTGTATGACACGATCGCTCCGTCTGCTAGCCTTGAGCCCCGCGCCGCCAACCTCCAAGCAACTCTGCTGCTTTCAGTTTTTTAGGGTATGCTCAGAAGCGGGCTTCCTGCATGATATGATTACTTTGTATTTATTATTTATTTAAGGAATGGCCATACCCTTTTTCATATCATTTTCCATTCCCACCAACAGTGCACAAGAATCCCAAACGATGTTTTCACTTTTTGGATGATATCCTTCAAACCACAAAAGTTACCAATTTTGCTGGCCATGGTGGTTCATGCCAGTAATTCCAGCACTTTGGAAGGCTGAGGCGGGAGGATTGCTTGAGGCCAAAAGTTTGAGACCAGCCAGGGCAACATTCTGAGACCATGTCTCTACAAAAATTTTAAAATTAGTTGGGTGTGGTGGCACACACCTGTAGTCCCAGCTATTCAGGAGGCTGAGGCAGGAGGATCACTTGAGGCTGGGAGGTTGAGGCTGCAGTGAGCCATGATTGCACCACTGCACTCTAGCCTGGGTGACAGAGCAAGAGCCTGTCTCTCTCTCACATACCCACAAAGATTCATTCTCTACTAGGCATTGATAATTTATTTAGTTATTTATGGTTTTATTTTTTGAGACAGGATCATGCTCTGAGATCACGCCCGAGCTGAGACTTAGAGCAAGGTTAGCCAACTCTTGGAGTGAGGTAAGGCCAGCTCTCCAACTCACCCTTTTTCTCAGTTGGGTTTTTCCTCGGACACTACTGAACTACTGGTCATGCCCTCCTCACCAGTTTCTCTCTCTCTCTCTTGCTTTCTTTTGAAACGGAGTCTCGTTCTGTTGGCTCGCAGCAACCTCTGCCTCCTGGGTTTAAGCAGTTCTCCTGCCTCAGCCTCCCAAGTAGCTGGGATCACAGGCACATGCCACCAGGCCCAGCTGATTTTTGTATTTTTAGCAGAGACAGGGGTTCCCCATGTTGGCCAGGCTGGTCTCGAACTCCGGACCTCAAGTGATCCACCCGCCTCGGCCTCCCAAAGTGCTGGGATTACAGGCATGAGCCACCATATCCAGCCAATTTAGGAACTCCTTAAAAAAATCCTAAATAAAGCATTTTTGTATTTTCCTTTTTTTTTTTTTTTTTTTTTGAGGTACAATCTTGCTCTGTCCCCCAGGCTGGAGTGCAGTGGTGCAATCTCGGCTCATTGCGACCTCCGCCTCGGGGTTCAAGGAATTCTCCTGCCTCAGCCTCCTGAGTAGTTGGGATTACAGGCATGCGTCACCACGCCTGGCTAATTTTTGTATTTTGTATTTTTAGTAAAGATGAGGGTTTCACCATGTTGCCCAGGCTGGTCTTGAACTCTTGACCTCAAGTGATCCATGCACCTTGGTCTCCCAAAGTGCTGGGATTACATGCGTGAGCCACCATGCCCGGCCAATTTAGAAACTCTTTCTGAATGTGGGAATACAAATACCTCAAAGCTAGAATAATATTCCTAAGCCTTTAACTTTTTATGTGGTGGGACATTCTCAGCAGAATATTAAGTTGCCTTTCTTTTTTGGGGGGGATGGAGTCTCACTTTGTCACCCAGGCTGGAGTGCAGTGCCGTGATCTCGGCTCACTACAACCTCCACCTCCCCGGTTCAAGCCATTCTCCTGCCTCAGCCTCCCGAGTAGCTGGGATTGCAGGTACTTGCCACCATGCCCAGCTAATTTTTGTATTTTTAGTAGAGACGGGGTTTCACTGTGTTGACCAGGCTGGTATCGAACTCCTGAATTCAGGTGGTCCACCTGCCTTGGCCTCCCAAAGTGCCAGGATTACAGGTGTGAGCCACTGCACCTGGCTGAGTTGCCTTTCTTGTCAACTAAAAATGGGCCTGTTTGAATCACCACGGCCATGTCTTTCTACTCGGAGCGATTCTTGAGGTCAAGTCTGCAGTGAGCCAAGATCATGCTAGTGCACTCCAGCCTGGGTGACAGAATGAGACCCTGTCTCAAAAAAAAAAAAAAAAAAAAAACCCGTCCAAAAAATAAAGAAAACCGGTCAGGGAGGATTGGTCAA